CCATTAACCAGTTTAAACTCCCCAGCAGTATTTATGCTGCTTACCGTTCCAAGGCGGCACCCCTCTGTGTTCCTCAGATGTTTGTATATGTTGTTTGATACCGTTTCGGTGACACTTTTTGGTCTCTTGTTGTTTTTTTGTCTACGGTAAGTATCTTCCCCTTTGCCCCTATTTCGTATTTATTCTATTTCTATCCCCCCCTCCCCGGGTCTCATGCCTTCCCCTGTACCTTTTGACTTTATGGGCCTAATATTCAATCATTTATTACCTCGACTTTTTTTTTGAAAAAAAAAGTAGAGGTATTGTTATAGTCAGGTCGGCGTTGCCGTTGCCATTCCCGTCCGCAAACTTGTACCTGGATCATAACTTTTTTATTTCTTGGTGTATTGTCTTCATACTTGGCCACAACAACCCTTGGGACAAGACCTTTCAGTAGACCACACTAACTTTGACCTTCATCCATAAATGACCTTCAAGCTTAAAAGTCCAATTTTTGCTTGTTCATGCTGTTTTTGGCTGTAACTTTGTTATTTTTGAATGGATTGTCTTCAAACTTGAACATAATAATCTTCAAGGATATCCCTTAAAAATAACCCGTCAGACCTTGACCTTCACTCATAAATGACCTTGACTTTGAAGGTCAAATTATTGAAATTTTCATTTTTTTGGCTATTATTGGCTGCGACTTTGTTATTTTTGAATGGATTGTCTTGAAACTTGAACATAATAATCTTCAAAGATAACTGTTAAAAATAACCCGTCAGACCTTGACCTTCACTCATTAATGACATTGTCTTTGAAGGTCAAATTATTGAAATTTTCATTGTTTTGGCGGTAACTGACTGTCACTTTGCTATTATTGAAGGGATCAACTTCATATTATAACAGAACATTCTTAAGGACCAGACCTCGTTGTTTATCAAACCCAAATTTGTTGGGCTCTTTAATGACCTTGACCTTGAAGGTTTAATTACTGAATTTTCTCAGATTTGTGCATTAAATGACCATAATGATATATATATATATATTTACAACAACAATAACAACAACAATAAGAATTGCGTCATTGTTTCTATTTATAGAATTGCGTCATTGTTGCTATTTTTAGAAATTGCGTCATTGTTTCTATTTTTATAAATTGCCTCATAGTTTCTAATTTTAGAAATTCGTCATTGTTGCTATTTTTAGAAATTGCGGCATTGTTTCTATTTTTAGAAATTTCGTCATTGTTTCTATTTTTAGAAATTGCGTCATAGTTTCTATTTTTAGAAATTGCGTCATTGTTGCTATTTTTAGAAATTGCGTCATTGTTTTCTATTTTTAGAAATTGCGTTATTGTTTCTATTCATAGAAATTGCGTCATTGTGTCTCTTTTTAGAAATTGCGTCATTGTTGCTATTTTTAGAAATTGCGTCATAGTTTCTATTTTTAGAAATTGCGTCATTGTTGCTATTTTTAGAAATTGCGTCATTGTTTCTATTTTTAGAAATTGCGTCATAGTTTCTAATTTTAAGAATTGCGTCATAGTTTCTATTTTTGGAAATTGCGTCATAGTTTCTATTTTTGGAAATTGCGTCATTGTTGCTATTTTTAGAAATTGCGTCATTGTTTCTATTTTTATAAATTACGTCATTGTTTCTTTTTATAGAAATTGCGTCATTGTTGCTATTTTTAGAAGTTGCATCATAGTTTCTAATTTTAGAAATTGCATCATTGTTGCTATTTTTAGAAATTGCGTCATTGTTGCTTTTTTTTTAGAAATTGCGTCAGTTTCTATTTTTAGAAATTGCGTCATAGTTGCTATTTTTAGAAATTGCGTCATTGTTGCTATTTTTAGCAATTGCGTCATAGTTTCTATTTTTAGAAATTGCGTCATAGTTGCTATTTTTAAAAATTGCGTCATTGTTGCTATTTTTAGAAAGTGCGTCATTGTTGCTATTTTTATAGCAATTGCGTCATAGTTTCTATTTTTAGAAATTGCGTCATTGTTGCTATTTTAAGCGATTGCGTCATAGTTTCTATTTTTAGAAATTGCGTCATAGTTGCTATTTTTAGCAATTGCGTCATTGTTTCTATTTTTTAGAAATTGCGTAATGTTTCTATTCATATATATATACAAAATATATAAACAAAACTAATGTGACAAGACAGACCAACTAGATTTATAAAAAGAAAACGTTAAGATATGTTCAAACCTTTCTTTGTTTGCGTTTAGAAAAAGTAAAAAGTCGAGCGTTGTCCCCGCTCGGCGGTGGCTCTTGTTTGTTTTCTTTTAGTTCCTGATTAGTTTCTAATTATTTATTCTAAGGTAGTGGTTTGCCTGCCCGTACTCTGCCTTATGCCCTTCCCTGTTTTTGTTTTGGGTCCTCCTGGGCTCCTTGCCACTGACCCTTGTTACTGGGCCGGGTGGGGGCTGTGTTCATTGAACGCCGCCTTTCCTTGATGATCTTGTTTATCATATTGTTTGGTATATAGCAATTTATGTGGAAACCAAGCTTGGTAATGCATTTAAACCCCCTGGGGTCAAGGTCAACGTGACTGTTATATAAATAAGGTTTCCGGAGAATTACAAAAGATAGGAATGAGATATTGTAATCAAACTAGGTATACAGCAAACTTATGCGGAATTGCATTTGGACCTATTGGGGTCAAGGTCAAGGTCACCATTACTAAAAATAGAAAAATGGTTTCTGAACGATAACTTAAGTTAGGAACGATATATTGTAATCAAATTTGGTTTATACCAAGCAATAGAGAGAGAAAAACAAAATCCTTAAATAAAGCCAAACACGGCAAAATTGTAAAATGTTGCAGGCTCGTTTTGATTGAGCCTGTTCATGGACGGTACTGGAAAGTGCAAGTTACCGTCCACGCCCCCTAGCACCGGCTTAAGCAGAATTCAACATTTAAACACAAAAATGGTGAAATTTTGAATTTAGAACCCACTAGCGAAGTTAAGGGGGGTATATAGGAGTCAGCTTGTCGGTCGGTCGGTCGGTAAGCTTGTATAAAGACCCAGGTTGGTATTATATTTTGACCCGCTGGAATAGATAATGGTTTCCTAACAAAAACTAGAGTTAGCATCAAACTTGGTATATAACAAGCTTTTATGAAGACCCTGGTTGTTTTCGCATTTGAACTCCCTAGGGTCAAGGTCAAGGTAAAGGTTGCTAAAATAACTAGAGTTAAGAATGAGTGTAATAAGTAAACACCAAAATGATTATATAGAAACATATAAAAGAAAACCCAATGACCATAAAAAAGTACTCAATGTCCTAAAGGAAGACAGGGCAACAAGAAAATCACCAACAAGAATAATAAAGTTTTGTTTTTTTTCTCGTATAATTTTTATGGCAATTTGGATATTCCGGTCAAATATGGCGCAAAGCGAATTCGCGCCTATTCTGTTGGTCCAGTGCAAGACATTTCGTCGAAAGAAAAAAATGTATTTTATTGTGCTGAAAATCGTTATATTAAATGTATTATAAGTTTAATTTTATTAATCAAACCTTAAACGGTACTGTCGTGTATGTTATTGTCGTTTTCTTTGTATTTTTTTCTTTGTTCTTTCTGGTGTGTTGCACTATTTTTTCTCGTTAAAGGGTAATTATTAATATTATTATTATTATTATATTAATACTGTTATATCGTGAATATTGTATAATAATTTTCAAAAAAAAAATCTAAATTATCCCTCATTAACTTTATGACTAATTTGAATTAATGAATGATCTCAAATTCACAGATTGATAACAGATTACAAATCTTCAAGAAAATCCTCAAAAATGAGGCTTGGGAATATGGCAGATTTTTTAATTTGTGCAAGAATTTTCTATAAAAGAAGGATAAATCATTATACGTGTATACATGTACAAAAATATGATAAACAAGATCAAAAAGGTGGGGTACTCCGCAAAAGTAACAAAGATGATAGAAGCTCAAACGGGCAAGTGTTACATCCAGATATCATTTATCGCCATGCTATAAACCTATGAATAACCAACCATCCGAGTACATTCCGAATGGACAATACAGGTGCCCGTTCTTTATTCCACCCTTTCCCGCTACCCCCGTATCAAGGGTTGCAGACTTATCACCATCTGCAGGCAGCTTCATTTCGGTCAACTGCAACTATCTCTAACACGCAAAGCAAATTAATAGAACGTGTCAACAAAATTGATTCACGTTAACGATCAATAGAGAATAGTGTGTCCATATTAAACGATATATCGCACCGTCGAAATGAAGAAAAATACAGCAAATCATCAAATGAAAGCTTAAAAACGACATGGAAACGTTTTGTCAGACTGTAAGTGACCTATCAGATAACTTCAATGAACACAAGCCTGTTCAATCATTTATTTGTTTTCTATTAATTACATATCAGTAACTAATTATTTATCATTTAGTGATTAAACTGTCCATGCTGGCTTGTGCCCTGTCCTGTTTTTGTTTGGGGTCCGCCTGGGCTCCTTGCCACTAGTTCTTGTTGCTGGTCATATGGAGGTTGTGTTCATTAAACGCCGCCTTTCCTTGTTGATCTTGTTTACCATATTTAATGTGACACCTCTTAAATTGCCCTTCAAAGAGAAGCCAAATATTTTAAAACTGAAGTGCAACAATTGAACACAATAAATTTACAACAAAATGAACATGTTTTAAATTTTAGATTTAACAGTATGCGTGATAATCTCGTTTTTATAGGTTTAAAAGAAACAAACGGTGAAAATTTACTGTCTATGTTCAGTTCAAATATGTTAACAGAATTGGGGGCGCCGACAGAAATATGAACGAACCAATCGTTGCAAAATTTCTGAACACAAATGATAGGGCAGCTATAAAATCAGCCGGGGTTAAATTAAACATGAAAAAGAAAGGTACAAATATATAAACGAACAACAGCCCAAAGAAATCGGGACACGCAGACGTGAGCTCTTTCCAATATACAAAACAAAAACAACAACAAGTGCTTTATTTTCTGAGACAAATTATATGTCAACATGAGATTTTATGGCCATCTTACAGATCCTGTTCGCTCCAATTTTAACGGAAATAGCCAACGTGTTACCGAGAGAATAAGCAGACCAAGACAATGTTCTCGTACAACAATCAACTTTGCAACCGCTGATATATTTGCGTCGTTAATGAATTGCGATTCATGTGAACAGTCACCTGTGAGAAATATGCGTAAAGCAAACTCTCCATTTGAAGAAGCGTTAAACAAGAGATCACTCGAATGATTAATACGTCAACGTAATAGTTTGATAGTAAGTCAGGTTCGTCGAAAACGTCATTTATTGTAAATATTTAGAATTATTATCCCAGTGTTTACAAATGAGTATTAACGGTACACTGTATTAATCTATTTATATTCATGCATATTATATTTGGTTGAGTTTGATTGCGCAATTTTTTTTCCAAAGTTGCTGAATAATATTCAAAACATACTTATATGTTTATTATGGGATAAATTAATTTTAAACAATGAATTAATAAAATATCACAAAAAAAAACATTATACAGCTGCATCTATTTGTAGTTATTCACTAAAATAAACACACGTGTAAGTATGATTCTATAAATACATGTAGATAACACGGTTACAATTCATGTTACATGAACCACGAAAGTAATTAAAGCCGTCCGAGTAAATTGACTCTTGCACGTTTCACTTTTTTAACGTGTCCAATTTTTTATTGTTTCAAAGACGGCAAATATACAATATTATCATAACAAACAGATCGGGTATTACACCTCTCATTCTATATCAATTAACCTTCATTGCCTTTATCACGATCACGAGGTGTTAAAGCATATGTCACCGACTGTCACTTATTCAGAACATGTCAACTGTCTCTTTGTGTTCGACCGAAAATGTTTGACGTTAACTATATTTCTGTGGAAGGGACTGAAGAACAGGTTCGGGAGTTCGAGCGATCCGAGGTAGAACAATATATGTGATATAGGAATTTTGCCGGGACTGAGCGATGAGTTAGAGCGAAGGGAGGTATTCGAGCGATGCGAGTTCGATCGAACGAAGTTTAACTCTCCTCTGTATAGTTCGAAAATCAACCTACATATAACAATACTTTGCTCAGTCAGCCATGCAGTCGAACAATGCATAATAAGACAGCCAGGGAGAGACTTTTGTATGTAATATATCTACAGAAAATATTAACAGCTATTACCATGTGAAACAACAGAGTGATGATTTTTGTTTTGATGATATTTGTTTAGGGAGATACTGTATTTTTTGAAAACTATGATGTTTACGTGAAACATAGAGAAAAGAGATATCAAAAGGGAAGTCAGGCGAATTGGATTAGCTGTATCATTTGTTCATGTCATAGAGGGTTAAAGTAAACAAGTAAATATGGTTTTGCTAATACAACATTATCATAAACATGTGATATTTTATTTTGGGTAGTACATGTGCAACCTGAAAATTCAGAGTATCAGATTGATGACACTTTTTTTCTGAAATACAAGACGATATTAGGTTGTTTTGTTTTTTTTTTGAAAATATATACACACCTTTGTATTTTTGGTGATAGTAGAACTAACTGATAACATGACTATACAGATTTAGATTTTGATATACTCCATGAAAATGGACTGGATAATATTCTGTATGGTATACTATTGTATACAGTCAATTATGAATTGCTTCCATGATGCAAATGTATGTCTCAGACGAAATAACCAAAATGGACATGTTTATAATTTTGGAAACAAGTTAATTGATTTTTTAAAGTATAATAATATTGTGACGTCATCGTCACGGCATGTAATATTTTACAATGACAATTGTTAAAATAGTGAAGATGACTTTTATTTAAATAAATGATAAAAATTGCAATAATTAACTATATTTATTTTGTAATATTGACATGTTCAAATACTTATAAACATCTTATATATATGTTATATTAACATAATATTATCATGTCAATTCAACCTGAAACATTGCAAAACTCGTAATCATTATCACATGTATTTAATTAATGTACATGTCCGCATTGCAACATGTGACTTTTTATGTTGTTATTTTCTATCGTATATATCGTTGTATTTCAGCGTCAGACCTTGAGATTTTTGATACATACTGTTTAAGTTTATCCTTTGTCACATTCCTCCATCGTTCCTTACAGCTGACATTTTGTATTATTGTTTATTTTTAAGTTATTTTCCAGATTTCTCCGCTCAGCTGTTTTCGTGTAGTCATCTTCTTTGCAAGTGCGCATGCTCCGTGTCGGGTCATAACTCATTATGCGGATCGTAAATTTTCTGCGGACCCCTTTTTCACCGGGTCAGTGTTACTAACGGCGCATGCCCAGCATCGGGTCAAAGGGACCATCTGCGCATGCCCCGGGTCAAATCAACGCTAAACTTCAGTTGCGATCCAGGTTTCCTAGAGAGCAGCCACGCTCTGATTACTCTCAGAATTTAAATAATTATTTTGATAATTTCTTCAGGTTTCTTCAGAAATTTAGGTACTAAGAACTTTCTGGCATCATTATTAAGTAAATTTTTCCATAATAAATTTTTGTAGGAAATTAAATTTAAGAGCTTTTATTAAATTTTCACACTTTGCCATTTTTGTCGAGGTCTGACAGCTTAGGAAGTTAAGATACTGTTAAATAGTTAAATATTTGTTAAGTTTTTCTCTAATTCTATTAATTGTTATTCGCTCCTTAAATAAATTTACTTGTTGAGAATCAAATAACTTTTGTTATTTTCTGGTCGGCTCGGTCGATCGTGACGTGCGCTCACCAGCTACCAGGGGAGAGTCTTTAGTCTACCCGCTACCAGGGAGATATCAACGCCTGACTACGCCAAGAAATAATTAAATTAGTCCAGTATAGTCGGCCCCTTATATGAATATTTAGACTTAGTCTTTGCCCCACCCGCGCGCACGTCGCATCATATATACATATAAATGGTAGAAAAAGGGATATCTTCTCCGGTCGGTTGACTTGCAAAAATGTTAGCACCGTAGATAATTATGTGTGTTCGTCAAATGTATTTAAATCACTTGTTTAAATCACTTGTTGACACTACGCCCTTGAATACTGTCCATTATTATTTGACGTACATAATGCTATATTGCTTTCTTTATTTTTCTTTTAACAGAAACTTACATTATTTGTCAGATACATTGGTGATGAATTTCATTATATTGTTGAGTGTTCATGTTTTTTAACAGCAAGAAATGTTGTTTGAAACCTAACTATTTGAAGAAACAAAATATATATTCTATTCATCTACTTATGAACATGATGTTAACCTTCCAGATTACAAAACAATCTTTGTTTATTTATTAAAGAAATTATATTAAAATTCAACTGAGTAAAAAATTTTATAAATGTATTGTTGTTGAGAAAACTATTCATTGACAAGTATTTACTGTAATATTGACTCCCCCGCAATATGTATGTTAAAAATTTATATGTCATGTCATAATGATACAGTTTAGACTTGAAATCTCATCTAGAATAATATGTGTTATTACCTCATGTTGTCATGATTGCATGATCTAAGTGAAATAAGTAGAAACATTGAATTGGAATTCAATTCAAAATTTAATTGAAAAAAAAAACTTAGTAATAATCGAATAATTGTAATTTTACATTTCATAGAAATATCACTTTGTGAACTCTGAAATAACGATATGCGGTCCGATTGCCAAGGCGTAACTGGTAGAAAAATAATATTTGTCCCAGTAAACTTATTCTGTTTTCATTCAATATTCGTGTCAGTTAAATAACTGAGACATTCTAAAACTCGACCATAAATTATAAAAAAGTGTTGTAAACTTTTTATTTAGTCATTTCAAAAAAACTCACTGGAAATCCCTTTGTTATAAAGAAATCGATACATTAATCTATATCCTTTAAGGACATATACAACATCGTCATGTTTTGATATCATTTGACTGTTTATATAAACATAAAACGGTTCATTTTTAGCTCGACTTTTTTTTTTTTTTGAAAAAAAAGTAGAGGTATTGTTATAGTCAGGTCGGCGTTGCCGTTGCCGTTGCCATTGCCGTTGCCGTTCCCGTCCGCAAACTTGTACCTGGATCATAACTTTTTTATTTCTTGGTGTATTGTCTTCATACTTGACCACAACAACCCTTGGGACAAGACCTTTCAGTAGACCACACTAACCTTGACCTTCATCAATAAATGACCTTGACCTTCAAGGTTAAAAGTCCAATTTTTGCTTGTTCATGCTGTTATTGGCTGTAACTTTGTTATTTTTGAATGGATTGTCTTCAAACTTGCACATAATAATCTTCAAGGATATCCCTTAAAAATAACCCGCCAGACCTTGACCTTCACTCATAACTGACCTTGACTTTGAAGGTCAAATTATTGAAATTTTCATTTTTTTGGCTATTATTGGCTATAACTTTGTTATTTTTGAATGGATTGTCTTCAAACTTGAACATAATTATCTTCAGGGATATCCCTTAAAAATAACTAGACAGACCTTGACCTTCACTTATAAATGACCTTGACTTTGAAGGTCAAATTATTGAAATTTTCATTTTTTTGGCTATTATTGGCTGTAACTTTGTTATTTTTGAATGGATTGTCTTGAAACTTGAACATAATAATCTTCAAAGATAACTGTTAAAAATATACCGGAAGACCTTGACCTTCACTCATTAATGACATTGTCTTTGAAGGTCAAATTATTGAAATTTTCATTGTTTTGGCGGTAACTGACTGTAACTTTGCTATTATTGAAGGGATTGTTGCTATTTTTAGAAATTACGTCATAGTTTCTATTTATAGAAATTGCGTCATAGTTTCTATTTTTAGAAATTGCGTCATAGTTTCTATTTTTAGAAATTGCGTCATTGTTGCTATTTTTAGAAATTGCGTCATTGTTGCTATTTTTAGAAATTGCGTCATTGTTGCTATTTATAGAAATTGCGTCATTGTTGCTATTTATAGAAATTGCGTCATTGTTTCTATTTTTAGAAATTGCGTCATTGTTGCTATTTTTAGAAATTGCGTCATTGTTTCTATTTTTAGAAATTGCGTCATTGTTGCTATTTTTAGAAATTGCGTCATTGAGTCTATTTTTAGAAATTGCGTCATTGTTTCTATTTTTAGAAATTGCGTCATTGTTTCTATTTTTAGAAATTGCGTCATGTTGCTATTTTTTGCGTAATGTTGCTATTTTTAGAAATTGCGTAATGTTTCTATTCATATATATATATATACAAAATATATAAACAAAACTAATGTGACAAGACAGACCAACTAAATTTATAAAAAGGAAACGTTAAGATATGTTCAAACCTTTCTATGTTTGCGTTTAGAAAAAGTAAAAAGTCGAGCGTTGCCCCCGCCCGGCGGTGGCTCTTGTTACTTTTAGATTGAAAATGGAGAACGGGAGAGAGGGTTGTTGGTTTTCTTGTAATGTAAAGAAGGTTCTGTTCGATGTATAGTTTTCGTAAGGTAGTGTAAATGACCATTTCAACAGCATTTTATTTTGATTTTGAATCTTAATTGAGCCAAGTACGGATAAGAAATTTTGACATAATCCTAGGATGATTCTTTAAACAATTAATAGCCCAAACTTTATCTTTAAATATTGTCACGTCACGATCAAGGCACATGACGTTGTTATCTTCAATCAATATATATGCAGTTATAAAACTACATATCTAATACTATATCGAAATTTATGGAAAATGAGTAAAAACTTGTAATAATTGAATAGCTTATCAAAACCCAAAGTAAATAATTATGTCAATCGAGATAAAATACCCTGCTAACTTTTAGCTTAGCCCTACGTTTATTTAGACAATTTAGAAAATTACCAGAGCGTAGCTTCACGGTTTAGTTTCTGACTAAAGACTCCCCGAAAACTGAAGTCTCTGTCTATTTTTACAAAATCTGCAAACGCAAAAAGATGACTGATCACATAATAAAATAGTTGTAGGTAAATGCACCTAAAAATAGTCTGCTTTCATACAAAGTGCACCCAACGAATGGTTGATCACCAATAAAATTAAGTGCAATCTTAAAAGAATTACAGAGATTGGTTTATAAGAAAATATGGCCATCTAGAGGAAAATTTTTAATACTGGTTAAAAGAAGAAACCTTACAACTGTGTTAGGTACCTTATATAGGTTTAAATGTTGATAAAAAAGTGATAACTTTTTCGGCGCCGCACCCTATCAAAAAAGGTACAAAAAAGAGTTGCCATAAGGGGGATGTGCCCCTTTCTGTTTCGGGGTTTGAAGGGTGCAGCTCCCCTCTTTGCCAAGGGAATTTTGGACATATACCAGGCTAAAAATGGTCTCAGGTCGATCGTAAGGTTCCGTGTAACAAACGCTAGAAAAACTTTTACTCTATCTCAATCCATTGATCGTTAGGTTACGTGTAACCAACGCTGAAAAGCCTTTGACTCTATTTTAATACATTGAGAAGTTGCAGCACTTTATAAAATCAGTTTTGATGGAAAAAAACAATGAAAAATGTTAATTCTTTGGCAATTTTGAGACGCCCCCCCCCGTTGTCTTGGTAACAGGAAATTTAGGATTGAGCATGCTGTTACAGAAGATATGGTCCAGTCAACATTTGTGCCATGTTTCATCAGTATTGAAGCATTTTTCGTAGTTTCATAGCAGTTTGAACTTGTAACAAGAGGCTTTTCAATGAAAACGACTATTTTTCACAATATGCTCATGAGGTATAGGGTTACTAAAAAATAATGCCACAAAAAAAATCTCCAAAATTAGGTAAAAGGCCACATGTTAACATGGAAAAACTAGATTTTGGGCAATTTCAAGGTTTTTCATCATTTTTGTTAAATGAATGAATTTTCTCTGGAGCATATTCGCTTGCGCTTGGTAACAAACCACAATAACACAATGCATTGCGAGAAAATTGGCGTCGTGAAATGAGTTTCGAAGAATTTCAAACATTTCCAGATAAATACATGGGTTTAAATCAAGTTGCATGGTGCTAAAAACATAAGTATTATAAAAGGGGATCGAAACACGAGTCTATCTGATTTGTACGAGGGAGCGTAGGCCCCGGGTATAAATCAGATTGCAGAGTATTTTGTTGTCCTTCTCTTTTGAATCATAATTAAAAAAAGTAAAAACACCTTCCCTGTTGTCACAATATGACACCCAGAGCATTTGAAAATGATATTTCTATCGCTTTTACTTTATCTGTCGTTACAATATTTAAACCCAAGAAAAATGAGCCAATCAATGGGCATACTCTGGAGTGCGGGCAACTAATACTAAATTTGCCTTTTCATGTTTGTGAAGATCCTTGTTGATCTTTTATTTCAAACCTCATGCAATTTGATTAAAACCCATGGCTTTTGGGGACAGTGTTGAACTGGAGTGCAGGTATTAGTTCCCAATATACCAGATTTTGTTTTGTTAGTGAAATAACGCTTCAGAACAGTTTTATAGCATTCGTGTAAGGAAGCAAACAAACAGTTGAAAATATACATTTCCTAAAAAAACGGATACACATTCAAACTGAAATAAAAGATCAACAAGGATCTTTACAAACATAAAAAGACACATTTCGTATATATTTTGCTTGTTTGAGTGTATATTTTGTCATTCTATAGAAAATTATGCCTCATCTTGTGTTTTATAGCTGCCTATATCACAAAGCATGTTTGTCAAGAGTCGGCCAAATGCTCCTTTATGCCAAAGTGTCAGTCTCAAGGTAAGTGTGCATATTATTAACTTGAATAACTCTACACTATATGTGTAGTGTGTGTCTGCTATTTCCAGGTAAATATTGCAGTTGCAATAGAGTTCAATATGGAGACATCAAGACTGGCATTCTGTACTAAAGTCAATTACATTGAAGATTCGATAAGAATAAATTGCAAGACATGGTTAAGAGGTGATCATTTTCGCATCAATCTCAACGCCTATGAATGTTATCAATGAACCGGATGGCAAAACCTTACATGGTTATGGATACGAAGCGGAAAGTCTATATGATGAACTTAAACTGGAAAACAAACACAATCAGTTTTATTTCTTCAAAGACATTTCGTTAAAGTTGATGAAATCATTCACGGAGGTACCGTATTTTGTGTTGTGTTTTGTATTAAACAACTTTTTTTCTGGTTTTTAAGAGCCTTTGTAATATAAATTTGCTTTAAATACAAGTCTTATGTGTAAATAATTATAATTATGAAATAAAAAAATTCGTATCCGCGTATTAAAAATAAATGTTTATTATATTTGACAGACCAAGATGGAACACTTTTGTTTTAATGAAAGCAAGATTGTTTTGCAACGTTCAGCTTATACACACTGTAAATAAGCGGCTTGGACAAGCCGATGTTTCTTTTGAACTTTATACTCATTGCTTAGTACTTGTTAATTCAAAGAAATAATTTAAGAGTTTTACTATAAGCGCATATCTTCAAACACTTTCGAATTAAATTTACCTTATCTTATCTTATGTGTAATTCATTTAATAAACTTCAAAATAAACAATTTAAAATGCGATGTTTCCATACGTACGGAATCTTTGCCGCAGTCAGGTAATTTTACGCCATTGAAGCAAGGATTATCAACCATTAGCTTGTTGTTTTGTTGCTAAAATGTGTAAATGCTTATAATTTGTATATTTCAATTAATCGTTAAAGGTATAAGACAAATGATGTCGATATGAAATTGGTGTACTGCATTTCAATATTATTATATTAGACCAAAGGAATGCATTAATTGGCTATAACAATAAATTGTTGATCTGTGCTTTTGATATGTGATATTTAAAATCTTTCCTAGACCAGCGACGTTCATCTGATATTATTCACACTTGTTATAGAATTCTTCAAAACTGACTTTCAAATGCTTTGTCAGCCATTTGAGGAAGGTGATAAATACTATTTAATTAGTGTACCAGAAATATTTCAAGAAATTGGGGCAATCGATTTCATGAGGAAAGCCGCTTTTGAGATTTTTCATTTTTTTATTTCAATTTTGTTTTGAATTAAGCATAACCAGACTTAATTGAACTTTACTTTCTTTAAAACGAAAACTAAACTCTTTTAATACATGGTGTTTTTCCTCCAACTCTTAACAAATAGTAAGAGTTGTCACTCGTTAATATTAAGAAAAATAAAGACTGGAAGATTGATTTAGCACCGCAATATTGATCACATATCAAAACAGAATAAAATTAACAATAAAAGCACCGCCGTTAAGGTGGACAATACACGCCGTACTGTAAAACGTTTTATCTTAATTATCTTTATGACTCAATGTTTGGAGCGTTTATATCCTTGTGCATGATTTTTGAAACTTTTGTAAAGATCTACTGGGCAATGCTACATGCAAAATATATGTGCTCCGGTTTTCTAAGATAAGATGAGTTTCCTTTACATCAGTCTACATTAAGCATGTGACCCTAAGGACATGGGATGTTTTACATTAAGGTCAATGCTTATATAATTTTTAGTTAACTTCATATTATTTTCTAAAGGTCAAGCTCTTTGCTTAAATGGTTAAGCAGTAGATAATTCTAGAAATATTTATTTATTTTATATAAGTGACCACAAGGATGTTGCAATTTCATTCCCCAGGTTCATGATGTAACTTTTTAGAGGTCAACTAAGCAATGCCACGTGTCGGATAGCCAAGCTTTATGCACCGTTGTTTCACACAGTAAGAGTTAAATTGATAAATCAAATAGGTAAAATCTCTTCGTTAATATGTAGGTAATCCCAAGATATTTCTGAAACAAATTTGGCAAGATGTCCTTTTTTATAACATGAACCTTAAATATGTCTGAAATTTACCAAACTATTATACTTTACCTGATTTCTATAATGAACGTTTCGGTTTTATGACAGAAAAGACCCCCACGTGTATTCTAATAGGGCAAGATGGAAAGACAGTCGAAGCTTCCGGGTATGAAGCTGAAGACAGATATCAAGATTTAGTTGCCAATGAAAAGCATATGGATTACTTTTATTTTGAGCGTTTTAAGATGTCGTTAAACATAAAGCTTGGAGAGGTGTTATAAATATTTTTCACTGTAATTCTACACATCAAAAGAATTTTCTTGTCATTTCTGCCTACACAACGAATAAAGTTTTTCAACTTTAGTTATGATTATCCTCCATCTATGGAAATTACATAAAAATACCGTCTTATTTTAGGGTCAATGCTTAGAGTCACTACGGTGATAGCCAATTTCGTTCAGTCATTTTAGTTTTAAGTGATATATATGTTTATGATGTGTAAAAATTTAATACATCATTCTTATCACATAAAAGTTTTCAGGTAAACCTGTTGTTATATTATAGAAGCTAGATAGAAACATAACACTAGAAGACGCAATGAACAGACCGCTTCGAGCCATTGACGTGTTTTCAATGAGTATCAAATTTCTCAAAGACGACTTGCTAGATGTTTTGCTCAGCACAAAAATTGGAAACGTCAGATTGAATGATATTCACTGGGTATTAACACTGCCTGCTATTTGGACAGATGGATCTAATCGGTTTATGATGGAAGCTGCCGTAATGGTAATAAAATATTAATATTTTAGATATTATTTTACAGGCGTTATGTGTTTGAATTGTGATTTTTTTTATTTAAGATCAGTTTCATTTAAAATACTAGCATATGTTTTATAACAAGATATTTTATACCATTGTAGGCCAAATATTACTAAGTGATACTATGATAATACGACACATATTAGTAATTATATGTCACTTAATCAAAATAGTTTAAAAAATTCTGCCTTATATGCAACACTTTAGTTTTGTGACATATGTACGATAATCAAATAACCTGTCCCTTCGTCAGAAAAGTTGCGATAGATTCCTTTGGCTTTTAAAATTGAAAAAAGCTATTTTTGTATTAGGAATGTGGCCTTGTTTCGCCCTGGTGATAGAGTGGGAATGCCCTGTCGTATTAAATTCAAAGCATGATTGTAAACTTTTTAAAGGCTGGAATCAAGACAAAAAGACTAACAACAGCTTTGGAACCAGAAGCTGCCTCAAAGTTCTGTCGGGACTTACCAATAGAAGCTACAACATCAAATACGGGTGTCAATATTTCATCGTTATCAATCGGAACACAGTATCTGGTCCTTGATGCGAGGGGTATGTGATTAAAAAAATATTGTTACAAATCCGGTAAGGTAACGGCTTTATCAAGCATACATTACATTTTGGCATTATTAGAAAAGCGTTGAATAATTTAATCCATTAAATATTTTATCCTTCTTTAAAGGTAATTCATAAGCGTTAATTTTTCTCATCTACCGGTAATTCAAAAGGACAAACATTGTTTCATTTGTAAGAATCATTTTCATTGCTTATTTTCACAATACAGTTTTTCATAGCTGCAAAGATTTAAGAATTCCAATAAGCAATGACATGATCATTATCCAATTGTACATCTCAAAAACGTCGATATGTCAAATGGTACGTTTAAAGATGAAGTAAATAAGTGTCGTCTAAAACGAACAAAAATCATTAAAATTAATGCTAAATGTTAAAGTGAATGTTGAAGTAAATAAGTGTTGTGTAAAATGAACAAAAATCGTAAAAATGAATGCTAAATGTTAAAATAATGTTACAAGAGTTACTTGTTTAATTTGTTTCCTGCAAAGGATATTATGTTGCAAATAAAGGTCAGGCTTTTGAAAATCAATATTTTTGTTTCATTAATATGTGCGCCTTTTCATTTTGTCTCACTCTAGTTGAGAAGACAGAATCAACGAAAAAGATTTTCTTTTATGACATGCAATTTTCATATTATAAAATTCAAGGTGGAACAATTGATATAACAGTACATGAGGCAGATAATGATGACAATATAAAGGAAATACATGCAGCAAGTGGAGATGGATGGGGTGGCACAATCGTTGATAAAGAATTCGAGCGTTTGTTGGTCACTTTAGTCTCAAGAGATGTTTACGAAGAGTTTAAACCGGAGCACACTGATGACTGGCTTGATATTTGGCATGTTTTCAGAGACTTTGAGGTCAAGAAAAGAAAGATAACAACATCTTCAGATTCGCCATTAAGAATGAAACTTCCTCCCTCGCTTACACATTTTTTTCCTTGTCAATAACAAAAAATTAGCCGAGGTTTTGAAAAGGTCAGACTATGCCAATGACATTAAAATTGTCAAGGACAAAATGACACTTTCACCAAAACTTGCAAGATCGTGGTCTTAAACATCTGTCGACAAAACAGTGGACACGGTTAAAAATATCATGACGTCAAGGCATGTAAATATATCGGTAATTTTAATGGTTGGTGGATTTTCCGAGTCTTTAGATTTACAGAATGCCATTAAGTCAGCATTTAAAGGACTAGATGTTATTGTTCCCGAAGAAGCTTCAAGCTGCGTTGTGAAAGGAGCAACCATTTTTGGCCACATGCCAAAAGTCGTTAGTGAACGTGTTCTAAGATATACATATGGAATTGAAACATTTGAGAAGTTCGTACAGGGACGTCACGCACCAAGTAAACGTATCATTACGGACAATTGCTCGGTATGTCAGAAGGTATTTAGCAAACATGCCGAAGTAGATCAAAAGGTAAAAGTTGGGGAACCACAAGTTTGGCGTACCTACAATCCTCAATATAAATCCCAGAAACATATGTCATTTTCTGTGTGTGCATCAGACAAACTAAACCCGATTTACACAGATGAGAGGTGTATTCATATTGGTACGTTGCAGATTGACTTAGACGATCATGACGGGGCATTGGATCGGGAGGTTTTAGTTGCCTTCACATTCAGCGGAACAGAAATAGTTGTTCAAGCAAAGGATAGAAAAACAGGCAACGACTCCTTCGCTTGGATAAAGAAACGGCCTTATATATCAAAACATCTTTATTTGCCATACATATGATATATAATCTGTGATGGCTTGTGTGTATATGAAAACCTATATGTTGCATCTGATAAAATATGTATACATTTTAAGTGGATAGCAAAGGAGTGTGATTCCTGTATATATAGATATTACGTTTGCGTTTTAATATCCGTACTTTCTTCTCTTTATTTGTAAATTGAAAACAAAACTGTAACAATTGTTTTTATTCCTTTATATTTTCATTATTTCTCCTTTAGCATAATTGTGTGGTGTTTATAATTGTAGCCAGAACTGTAACTGTAGTATGTACAGCTGTCAATTTTCAAGAATTGCTGTTGATATCCACAATCAACACACAATTTTGCTAGGAGGAGCGGTGGCCTAATGGTTAAGGTGTCTGCCTCTCAACCCAAGGTTGTGGGTTCGAGCACTTATCTGGTCACGACCATGTTTCTTCATATGACAACAGTACTGGTTGATTCCAGGAAACGGACTTGAAAATGATTATTATAAGTTGCAAGAAGTTGTTTCGCAACATAGCTTCAATATATTAATAAAGGTTTCTCTAAAAGAACAAAACTTCTAAATCTCAATTTATTGGGGATGCTGTTGTTGTAATTGCTGTTGTTGTGTTTTAGTTTTATTTATTTTATCATTGTTTTTATGATTATTGTTTGTTATTATTATTATAAAAACAAACCTTGTTATGAAAATGAAAAGTACTTTTTTTAATGTGCAGCTTCAGTGGAAACATTATGTAGAAATATCCCAAACTGTTAGAGCAGTCATTATGTAAAAAAGTATTAAGATTTGAATGGCGAAACGTAAAAAGTAAATAATAGTAGAAAAACTTAAAGTATGTGTTTAATACAAACAAAACTGTAAATATATAGTAATTTATGTATTTGTCGTTCGACAATTTATCTGTATGAAAACATATGGTAAAACAACACACTGTTCTTCAAATTTCTGAAAGATTGTAGTTTTGATGATCATGAAAATCTATTATTTATATGTACGATGATTAGTGTGGATCATTCGACATGTTACATCATATTTTCTGTCTAACAAATGTCATTATAGTCATGAATAATCTTGATATACACAATATTTTAGTCGAATATAAGACAATGGTACGTTCTTTACAAAGCCAAAGCCTTTGAAATGTATTACTCATTGAAATATCACAGAACAATACGTCTTAAGACAAGACATAAACAATTGTCAAGTGAGCTTTGTTGTAAACAGGAATTCAATGATTCCCTCAAACTATTTAAAAATCCGTGTTGAAGCATTTATACGTTTGTTTTAAACAGTTATATTTTGTTTAAAGTGGTGTATATAGTAAAGCAAAGTAAATGAACTGTTTTGTTTTTTTGTTATTGTATTTTTTTTGTTCCGTTGCATTGTTATATTATTAAACATAGGAAGTTGATGTTCCTATATTTCTTTTCTCCTTGAATGCTCATTAAGCAATTGTATGCAGCAGTAGTTGACTCTAACTAAGTTTCCAATGATGTGTAATTATTATGCCATACAACATTCTTAACGCTTAAACTTGCCGTCGTGTAATTAGCTGATATTAAATGGATTAGATTCTTTTTTTAAAAAATATAGAAAACAAGATCAACAAGGAATGGCAGCATTTAATGAACGCATTCCCAAACACAGGACAAAAAATTCTATTATGATGAAATGAGTTGATTATGCACGGTATCTGTCGTAAAAAACTGGGAACCACATTAATGTCCAACCTTGCAGTTGTTAGGGGTATGCTTTAGCTCGACTATTCAAGAATATGAGGAGAATATGAGAGCTATTGAAGTCGCCCCGGCGTCGGCGTCATTGTAAGCGTCAGCGTCGGCGTCTGCGTTGGTTAAAGTTTTTTGTAAATTCAAATATCTCAATTATTGCTTGAGATATTCAATTGAAACTTACAATTCTTATTTATAGTTAGAATGTACATCAGATTGACAAGTTGGATAACTCTGCCCACAATATTTACAGAATTATGCCCCTTTTTGACTTAGAAATTTTGGTTAAAGTTTTTTGTAAAGTCAAATATCTCAATTATTGCTTGAGATATTCAATTGACATTTACAATACTTTTTTATAGTAACAATGTACATCAGTTTGGAAAATTGCATAACTCTGTCTTCAATATTTGCAGAATTATTTGTATGTCACTAACCAAGTTCCATAGCTCTATTCGCATTTAGGCTGATTCATCTCCCTTTTCTACTTAGTCTCTTGGTTAATGTTTACGTGCAAGTTTTACATATCTCAATAACTATTAAAGATTTAAAACTACACATATGCATTTAGAATCATAATTGTAGGTCACTGACCAATATCCATAATTCTATCTTGCATTTAGGCTGATTTTTCTCCCCTTTTTCAACTTAGAAATTCATGGTAAAGTTTTGGTTGTAAGCTGTTATCTTCATAACTACTGAAGAGTTTGTGCCTTTTTGGGGACATTTTTATGCATTCATAATAATAAAGCAGTGATTTACTTGATAAAACATCTTAATAACAAGCCTTTGTACCTTTTCGGTCAATTTTATGTATTCATAGGTAATTAGCATTATTATAATCAATAAAACACCCTTGTGACAATTTTTGAATAGTCGAGCCAATACTGTCCCTCCGACAGTTCTTGTTGTATAGTAACACTTGTGCTAGTGATACACCATTAATCACGTATTTTAGTGCTATAGTTTCTTTATGAGAATATGAAATGTCACTGCTTTGTCTATAAGAAAATGAAAGGCTACGTAGGAATTTATTACGGAGCCCCTAAGGTGACATTAAAGTATTAATTCGTAATAACAAAATATTTATTCGATAATACGAAATATTAATTTGTAAAAACGAAATGTTATTTCGTAAAAACGAAATATTATTGCGTAAGAACGAAATAATAATTCATAAATACAAAATGATATTTATATTTTTTGAGGGTTTTCAATGTTTTTAGAAATATTTATAAAGAAGGCTTTGAAACTAAGTTCCTGATTAGGTATAAGGCATGTTAACACAATATAAATAGTGTTTGTTTTCTCCTTAAGTCTTCTACCTTAACGCGAAGGTATAACAGTTGTTTTTTTAATTTACTTCCTGGGCTTCAAATCCAGACAGGGATATTTTTTCTGTTTTGTTTTGTCGTTTTTATTGAGTTTTGAAATACGAGGGAAGTTCGATATATATTGCCTATTTCTATCTGGGGACTTCAAATTTCAAATCAGCTCATGCCCTCATGCCCTCGAAGTACTCCCCGTGGCTAGAAATATAAAGATTTAGCCGATGTATCCAGTTCTTGAAGGCGTCACGGTACGTTGATTTGGGCACAGTAATAAGGTCCTGATGAATGGCATATCCAAGTGCCTGTTGCATTGGCCTTTTTTAATAATAGACTTGCCATTGCTTCACCGGAGAGAAACTGACCAAGTATTGCACCTAGACATTTGACATTAGAAGTTGACTGTATTTCAGTCCCTTTACAACTGACATGAAAAGATGAACTTGTTTTTAACCTATGTTTAGAACCAAATAATATTGTCTCTGTTTTGCCTAAGTGAATGGAAAGTTTATTGTCAATTAACCATTGACTGACAGAATGTAGTTTTTTCAATAGATGACCTTTTTTACCTGCAACAAGAATAGCAGAATCATCTGCATAAAGAAGAAGTTTATTTTTAACAACAGCCTGCATATCATTTACATAAATTAAAAATATATAAGTATAAATGTTGTATTTAGTTTCTCCGTCATGCAAATGTTTTTTTTTTTAAGAACAATGCATCTATTTAACTTACTAGTACATGTTATCATTATATTGTAGCAAATCAACCAATAAAAGCAAAACTGGAACTCTGAAATAATGCAAGGAGGAGCACCTAAGGTCTTCCTCCACTAGTAAAACGGAAACGTCGCCATATGACCTATACTGTGTCAAACAAACAAACAAACAAACAAACAATTTAAGTGGTTTCTTCTGATTAAGAAAGCATTTCCACATCGGTTGCTTATTCGTTATTGTAAATGGTTTCTTGTCATCAGCACACTTGGTTTATTTTTTATATATACATTGTAGGCTGTCCAACCATGATATTTTCTTATAAATTACTGCCTTAGCAGGTGATTCGTTGATTAACACATAAATGAGTATTACTGGCGCAAACACCACTTCAACGAAAGGGAATTCTTTGCTTGTGGTATGCCTTTTCCACTATAGGCACTAGTCCATGCATATTTTTCATATTATTTGAAAATGAGCACTACTCAAGAAGTTTATATACGTAGAATGCTACAAATAGGCGTTATGAATGAGACATTGAGGTTTCATATGCATGCGAGTAAAAGGTAACATTAAGGTAGATACATACAAGTCTAATTGATCTTAAAATTTATACACTTGTATTTATATTACCTGTACCTAAATCACGTGTCATTTTACATAAACTGAGATTTTTGTACAAAATTTGATGTAACATTTAAAAAAGGGCTAAGAATAGAATTATTAGATCTGATCTGGTTAATTCCCTAATTTATTCATTAAACTATAAAAAGTACCATTCCTCAGTGGTCAATTATATTACTAGAAATCTATTCATATGAAAAACATATAAAATGTTGTTAACTCAGAACTGCAGACTCCGAAAATATCTTATATATGAACATTTAAGAGTTTATTGTTTATTGTTATGTTTACAAGTAGTTTTATTTTCTTCTGTGATTTACTTTAATTTTATATTATGAAGAAAATGATGATATTGTAAAATATGAAGGTATAAATGGTTCTTAACGAGTAATAAGCTATATGTGATAAAATACTTTATAAAATAAAAAAACATGAGGAAATGGTTCTGTAATCACATATTGATAGAAAGAGTTGTCGCCACCCGTATATTGTTAGCAAACAGAATAAAATTTTCCGAAACAAAATATTATGCTGAGGAATTCGTCGCATATAAGTGAGATAAATTCTAAAATAATTTTTGTCTGGTTAATTAGGTTTATACTCGTATGTACGGATTGTCTTATTTTTTAAAAAAAGAAAGATATTTTACGCACTAACATTTACAATTTATGAAAATCAGTCACGTGACCAAGTTAACTGTCATGCTATGTAAGAGCTGTTCTAAATGTACTCTGAATATTTTTTTTATTTATAGATGCATAATAGGAAATAAGTTTGTAGCATTTTACATTACGGATATTTATCATGTTTTTTATTGATAGAAAAAAATTTCCCGCACTTTCGCTTCCGTGGACAAAACCGTTTGGGGGTGAAAGGGGATTTTAAACCTGAATGCGAAGGGGCAATTTTTATTTCAAGTCTTGGAAAAAAACCCGGATTCCGGTTTAGTTTTATGGGGTCCGTTTTCCCCCTTTTTTCCGGGCCCCGGGGGGGGTTGGGTTTTTAACAAAAGGGGTTTAAAAAAAGGGGTATTTGGGCTGAAGTGTGCCCAGCGTTTGTCAGTCAAGACAGTCATATAGGTGCACTGTTATAAAAGCTAAATGCTGATATAAAGTAACACACATGTGCCTTCTGATCGTGGTCTGCAATATTTGTAATATTTTTTTTTCATGCAGTATATAGTCTGAACATTTCCCGTAAAAACGGTGAATGGTTTTGTCCAAATTAAAGGTATATAGTGTAGACAAATATTATAAGTAACTGTAGACAAATTTCACTTCTCTATTCTCTTTTACAAACATGAATACCAGTATTATCATCTTATAAACAACAATTTTCAAAACATAATTTCAGTCCAGTTATCGACAAGGAGATACAACTTTTCACATTTTAAAATTTATCTTGCAAAGTAAATAACGGAAAAAAATACAATAGTATTTTGTGATTATCAACAACACTTTTGATAGGTTGAGGGATGGGAGTGGGGAGAGTTATTTCTTTATTGTCATCAGCTGGTGTCTGATTGCCATGGTTTCAACGCTTTTAATTTATAACAGGCACTAAAGAATCACTGTCCGCGGCTCGTCATCTTCTGTTCTTAACATTAAGTCTGGTGTTGCTCAAGGTTCTATTCTCGGACCTCAACATTATCTTATCAATATCAACGACATCGTAATTGACATCGACTCCAATAGTCGAAGGTTAACACCTGATATTGCAAGCAACATTATAAACCTTGATTTATAAAAGATATGTAAATGATTTGGAAAATGGCTAGTTTTGTTCCATCTCTCAAAAACAACTTGTTTGGGGATTTCCCATAAAATAATCAAGACAAAACATTTCCTTTTACTTATGCAAAACCTGGTCATCTAAGAATTTTTTTCTTACAAACCCTTAGGTGTAGTTATATCAGTCGACTTATCATGCTCAAACCATCTTCAGCTAGCTTACGGAACGTTAGTGGTTCTACTCAAGTGCCCAATCGTGCCTGAATAATGCACGAAAAATCATCTGAGGTCTTCCTCCACCAGTAAAACTGGAACGTCGCCATATGACCTATACTGTGTCGGTGTGACGTAAACCCAAACAAACAAACAAACAAAACAAAAAAAAAAACCATCTCATCATCATAACCATCATAAAAACAAAGCTTGGACAAGGATCATCATACTACGAAACCTAACATTCATTCTCGACAGTGATTCAATAGAAACATTATATTTAAGAAATAAAATATCCCAAACAGTGATTTTATCGCTCAATAACATCACTGTTTGGAGTTCGGAAGGGAGGAATTATATCACGAGGGCGTAGCCTGAGTGATATAATGATGAGCATCCGAACGACAAATAGTGATGTTTGAAAGCGATAAAATCACAGATTTGGATATATTGTTTCGATTCAAACACGACATCATCAAATAATTGCTGCCGTACTTGATATTAAGCTTAATTGGGCCTGATTTGTTTCCGTATTTTTTTTGAGCGCGTCACATTTTTAGTGGTTACGTCAAGTGTATAATGATTATGTCACATGTCTACATATATATAGAACATCAAACAGTGATTTTATTGCATAGCAAGTAACACACACTTTCGGTTGTTTCTTTGCTCAATAGGGAAAATGCGGGTCGTGTTAGAATGGACATTTACACGCCCATTGTAAGAATATGCCGATATACTTTTTGATAATTGTTCAGTTGGTGACAAGCAGGAATTGGATAGGCTACGATGAAAAAACGAGCCAGGCGAGTCACCTGTTGAACTAATGGAATAACACAACACTTGTTTCTCTTGAAAAGCTCTATGATGACCTAGGAATCGAACCTATGTCAACATGACGTTGCAATCCCAAACTAGTCTTTATTGATAAAATAAGTAATCGTTTTTGTCACCCTTCCCTTCACTCTATACTCCCAACACGACAAAATGAACGATACATCATTCTATCATTCTTTCTAGTATGCAATCTTGGAATACACTGCCGCAAAACACCAAATCATCAGACACAGACCTGTACAACAATTTATGCGACTTCTTTCTTTCTAATGCCATTTTCTTTTAAACTTGTCACTTGTATCAGAGTCAAATTAAGTTTCACGTTTATCCTTCTCATATCTGATTCACACAAAACTTTTATTTTCATACGATTGCTTTTATAAGTGTGTGCTTTCAGTCAATAATATTCCTGTTTACTGTACAATTTCAGTGTTTTGATGACATTTGTATCAGACGAGATTGATATACATTTGATGGGGTAATGCTTAAACACTAAACATTATATCAGAATAGCTCTACATAGCAGTTACTTAGAGGTCAATAAATTAAGCTGTACAGTACAGTACACATATTGTACACACAAGTTATCTTAGTATAGATCTATGTGTTATAAAGTTTAAACTCATTACAAGAGAACACTTGATATGTAAAACTTTTATTATTACGTAAATTAATATTACACAAACAAAATTTTAAAAAGCAAAAATCAATTTTGATGTGTTGACATTATGTTTAGATCTAGTTTTTCTAAATTATTGAATTTAAAAATGAACATTTTCATCAACAAAACGATAAATCTTATTAGAGATAAAGATATTAGTCTGATATAAAGATATAAACAGAATTTTAATAAAATGGTCATACAATCATACATACATGTGAGTACATTCATTTTAAAATTGAAATTTAATCGGCCCACTGAACATAAGTACGTGCACAAACTGAAACTATGACGTCATATTTTACGTCATTAAAAACATCTAGCTGTAAAAGTGAAAGTAGGTTTTTAGCACGAATAGCTAGATTTTATGTAAGAACTGAAGCGTATTTTGCACTAACAAAGTCTTATTTAAATAAAAAAAAATCAAATACGACAAATACATACTGAGAAAATGAAAATAAAACTTGCTTCTTGATTCTATTCTACTTTGTATACACACAAGGGAAGCAACTGTACAGAAGAAATCTGCTTAAGACAGGAATTTCTACGAAACAAATATGTTTATATCAAAGTAGATCTAATTAAAAAAATGCTCTACTATTAGACCTATCAAGTGTATAAAAGACACTAATACACGTCAAAGACGAGCCAAAAAGGGATAATCGGCCCTGTAATGAATAATGTCCTTGGGCTGAAGTCCTCGGGGCCATTATTAACTTAGCGGGCCGATTATCACATTCCGGTCCTACTCTGTCGTGTATTAATCTCTTATTATATAGTGTTACGTCTCCTTCATAAATACTTATTTTGATATTTTATAACTGCTTTCCGGATTTTTGTTTTATCGCTTTGAGCCGGTTCATCTATCTGATTTTCTTCCGTCCTTGGTTTACAGTAGAAACGGACGATAACTTCCTCGAATGTCTTGGGTAAGAGGTAAGATACCTAAATATATAAAATAAACAGCATTGCATGTGATAACGAAATATTATACAGTTCGCATTAAAAGTGGACATATGACAAGGGAAAACAAGTTAAATGTTGATGCTGCATATCAAAGATGCCAGTAATTGGTAATGTGCAAAATCAGCCCTGACTATTGTTCATTATAACAATTGATTATCCGAAGCACTAATCAATTTTCTTCATATTCATGGTATGTGCTTGTTGTTTAATAATTAAGTTGCATATTTTTGTGAAAAAGTAGAACCTATTGCATAAATTCACAAAGTAATGTCATGTCTGAAATTCTGTAATGTTCGTCTGTTGCGACAAAGATTGAAAGGTCTGGTGGAAGCAAAATAAATTGAATAAGAAGTAAAAATTAAATGATTTGTAAACTTAAAATAAATTCAAGACATAGATAGAGATTAATAGAATCTATCATTGGGTTAGATAAAGGACAAGGGAATCCCAACCCGAGGGTGATCTGTTCAATCGGGAACGAGCCTTGGCGAGTTCTCCATGGAACCGATTGCCAGAAGGTTGGGATTTCCATTGTCCTCTATCTTACCCAATGATTGACTATTTTTTATGTCTGTAACATTAAATAATAATTAAGAATAAATTGTAAAATATAATCAATTCTTTGTTACGTATTGTTTACTTATTTATAAAAGATTAAACTACTTGAGTAAACACAAGATTGCATATTTGCTTTAAATTTAGAACCGTTAAATGTAATAAAAAATCTAGGCAAAAGAGAACATTCGTCACAGAATCCTTCCAAATAACCTTTTGCAAATATGTGTGATACATTTTAAAACAAACTTATTTTGTCACTCAGTTAATCTGTTTAAAAATTAAATGTTAATTCTTTTTCATGAATAAGCAAACATTTTGCCTGTTTTGCAAAAAGTATTTCCCTTGCAACCGTAGCGCCAAAAAATCTCCGTTGCATATTTCAGTCCCTGTCCAAATTTTGTTCCCGTTATTAGAATATAGAATAACTCATTGACACGGTATTCAATAGGTAAATAAAATTAGATAATAAAAAAAGAATATGATATTCAAACATGGCACTATCACTTCAGTTAAACGTTTATTTAAATTCCTTAAAGCTCGGTGGGTGACATGTTGTAAAAGCTATTTTTATTAAAAAAATAAATTTCGAAAACATTGTGATTTTGTTAAAAAAATGCACAAGAGCAAGACTAAAATCTCCCTCATTGCTGAATAGACGAACGAAAGCGGCGTCAAACAATTTTATACCAACATCGTTTAACCTTCAACACGCTTAACACTTAAAATGGACTTGTCCATCTTTCTATCTGTTCATCAATTTTAGGCAAAATTTAAAAATAAGACTGACTGAATGGCGACCAGTGCAGACAATGATCAGACAGCACGTGTATGTCAGCTAATCTTGGTCTGCACTGGTTGCGTCATCACCAGCAGGATAAGGTTATAAATTTCTCTATATGTTTATTGTTAGAAAACTACTTGGACATTCAAATTGAAATTAATATATTTTTTTATCAAAATCAGTCAGTTATTTACACTTATAATGAGTCATTTATAAGTAATCACTCAGAAAGAAATGTTATTTTTGTGTACTTGAGTTTATTATTTGCCTCGTTTCTTAAAAAATAAGAATTCTACAAGTCCATTCTTCTGTCGATGCAGCATAAGAATATGAATGATTGAATTGAGTACATACTTGTTTCCGCTCAAACTGTATTCCTTTATTCGGCTCATCCTTAGTGTAAAATTGTATTTTTTCCAAAGGATCCTGCTCTTTCATTCCGTAGTCTAATCTTACAACCTTCAATTATTCACAAAAGTGCACAATTTTGTTGTTGAATATTTGCCGAAATCAATGAAAAAATGCCATACAATACACGAATGTTGCATACTCGGTCCGATTGCGGTTGTTTACTATGAACAATTGCAACATCATTCAAAACTTCAAACATCAGCGCTTTAGCAGTATTCAATTTTAGATAATAAATGTTCCCGTAGGGGAAGAAATATCTAACACTATTAAAATGAAATTGGGAGCAATTGTTACAGCTATTCAAAAGCACAAAAGACATTATAAAGATATCTTGCAGAGCCAAGTAAGGTTTTCGTCAATTTAAAGCTTATTAAATCATTTATAATGAATTAACACGAATAAAATCACCAAAGCAACAAAGAATATAAACATTTTACGGCTGAAAGCCTGCCTAAAAGATGTACCTTTTTAATGAAATTATATTCATGTATCACTTTATTCAGTAAAGGCTTCTGAGGATGTTTCAAATTTCCAAATTATACCAATACGTGTTAAATGTTGAATACTGCTTAAGCAGGTGCTAGGTTGGCGGTAACTTGCACTTTCCATTACCGTCCATAAACAGGCTCAATCAAACCGAGCCTGCAACATTTTCAATTTTGTCGATTTGAGCGTCTTTAGGGATTCTTTATTTCTCTCTATTCAGTTAATGCGATTTCTTTTCCAAGCACAGCCATAGTGTCATTATGCTCATATTTTTGCTGTCCAGTTTAGCGGAAGAAATAACTTTGAGTTATTATTTTAAAAGATTGTTTTTTATAATCCTGATCAAGATTTTAATGATAAATGTTTAGGATAGAAAATAAGAAAAAGGTTTTCCCACTCTTTATAAAAATCAAACGCTACCACTGCATTCTGAACGATATTTATATAAATTAAGATATATAACTGAAGACAATAAAGACCAAACATGAAGTTATTACATGAAGTTATTTTAAGTTTTACGTGGTCATTCACCATTTTAATTTAAATGGGCATATTGTCACGTACGCTTTGATGATGTCGACCAAACAAGATTTTGTTTATAAAAAATTTTTGAGTAATGAAGGTTTCACTCACATCATATTCTATCAGGTCTTTAACAGAGTCATTATCTGGTCGTAGAAACTTGTCTATGCGTTTCTTAACCTTGTTTAAATCATACTTCTTTGTCTAAATAATGAATAAAAATTATACATCTTAACGTCTTAATTAAAATAAATAATGAATAAGATTGACAATTGTTCATTGTCAAAGATGATTATTTTAGACACAACTTTAATGATGATTAAGCATTATATATAAAATCATGCATTTTATTTTCTTCAGATAATTTTCTTAAATACAAATTTAAATCTATTTATGCATAATAGAGAGTAGGCTTTCAGAATAAACTATATTTCTTTAATTAATAAACTAGGATAAAAAATATTGATAACTACGTTGTTTACCGGAATGTGCAATTCTGTAACAAACTTGTAAAGATTCCTCTTGTAAATGTTGTCGAGTATTTTCTTAGCCTTAGTAGGATCCCCGCTTCCAGGCTTTTTGAATGGTGTAACACTTAATAGAGGATTTAAAATGGTAAGGATCATGTCATCTGTCAAAAGTGTAAACGCTTTCGTGTCGTCAACTGCATCTGAAATGCTACAAATTCGCTACATTCACTATGTTCTAAATTAGAGTGAAGATTTATACTAGTTAGCTAAATATCGATGTTTTTGTTCGTATGAAATTTGTCAAAAATGTACCATATCTTGATATTGTATCACTAAACTGTCTTTGCTAGTCTTTTGGGAACAAAGTATATCACAGATATTCGAATTCTAAATTTGTTCGTGATTCCGTCAAAATTGAAAATCAGTAGAATCTTGTAATCTTTCATTAAATATATCCTTAAACTTTATATTTTACCTCTTTCCAGCAATTTCAATTTTGTCATTTGCATCCTTAAGGGCGTCATAAATCCTAAAAATTAAATGCAATTTTGCATTATATAATCCTGAAAATTAAATGTAATTTTGACTTATATTACTAATTTATAACACTGACTTCGCAAATCTCGCTTAACATAACGATGTTTACACCATAGCTGTATAAATAGGGACACTATTATGCATTGATTGAATATTTTGTGGTTATTTTCCTTCCACAAATTCATGAAGTATTAACATTTTCATTACATCTATATGTTATTAATTTCTACCCCGATGTCTTAAATAATTCATTTTTATTTAGCGCAACAAAATCGTTTTGTTTTTATATCTTCAATCATAAGATAATTGTCGTATATTTTATAGGGGAAGAAAAGGAAAAAAACTAACATGAATACAACAAATAGATGAACTTTGTGTAGCAATTCTTCAAAAAAGGTAGACATGAAAATGATATATATTGCTAAAGTAGACATTTACCTTTCCTTGACTTAAATGTATAAAGCAAAAAACCAGTAAATATCTTATGTTATAGATTTTGTAGTTCACTTGAATTTGAGAAGTTACATTAAATCATGTTAAACACATTAACTGAAACACACTTCTAATGTAACACTTTTCAAGAATTCATTCTTACGCTAAAAATGGTTTTATCATTTTCTAATATCATTTATCCATGACAGATGAGCAGTTCAACATGTGGAATAACATGTATAAAGATAACCCTTATATCCAAAGAACATAAAAAAGGCAGGTAATGCTATAGAAATGTCTTTCAGTGTTTTAACATATGTAATCATGTATACGAACATCATGCCGATAGCAGAGTGTGTCTTATGTTGATATGCCTGTCTGTATAGAGTCATCCTGGTGTAAAACATGCTGATCAAACCATGTGCTTCCTTCAAAGATAAAATTAAGTTTGCTATGTAAAAAACATATACATCCTTATCATTATCTGTCATTGTTTGCTTATTGACCGTTCAAGAAAGAAACAATTACGTGACCTGTTGAGACACATAATAAATGCTTTCTGATAAACATGAGTAAAATAAAAATTTCATAAGATTGCTTTTTATCCAGAAGGCATTTTATTTGTTGATGATGAGAGAGTTTGTCCATTTCATCATCTTGACTTGAATGTATGTGTATCAGAAGACTTTTGTTCTACACTCGCGAAATCTATAAGTAATCTGTATCACTGTGATCTTATTAGTGTTAAACATAACAAATTTTAGAGAGTATATATTTATTTACTTATCAATTCAATTTATCTCGGCTTACAATGCAATCACACAATATTAACCCTTTTCCTTTAACAAATCTTTTTCTTATTTTTCATTTATCATAAGTTTAGGCGATTGAATCTAAGGACTTATCATCAGTTGCTGTTTTTGCGCTAATTAAGTACAAACAAAACAAAATTATCACCTTTTCCCTGTAACATATTTGTTTCCTCTCTAAACCGTCGCATTTCAAAACCCGTGCAGTAGCGAAACATCTATTGTAGTCGAAATTTATCTTTAGTCCCAACATGTAGCTATCACGTGCTAGATAGTCCCACCTATCTACATCAATTCCGTTTCTTCCGTTAGCTACAATCTAATAATTCAAAACAATTTCATTTCTGCTTTTTATTAATGGTCTTCCTTTAATAAGTCATTTAAAATGATGCAAAAATACAAATATAGATATTGTGAAATATAATCATTTTCTATAGTAAATCGGCTGTTACATTTCCCCCATTTATATTTCAATTCCCTGACAATCCGAGTCTTTTTTACAAATAAATTTCAATGTAATGACATATCCATTTGGATTTTACTATGGGGACAATACTTTAGATGCTTATTCTATTTGTGGTCGATAACCATTGGTTCTGATAAAATACAAAACTTTATATATTCTGAATCATTTGATTTGGTCTTAGGGTTTAGACATTGATTGTTTATAGCTATTGCATAACTATGTGTCCGCCAGTAACATTAACAATAACAAAATATTAAAATCACATATCATCCCATATATATGAAAAGATATACATTACCTCATACATATAGCTTTTGTTTTCCTCTCTACCCTTGTATGGCCACGACTGAAACATATTTTCTTTAAAATAACATGAACAGCAAAAGCTGACATATGTTATTAATTTTGAAGCTGTTATAAATCATTATGCAACATAAGATTATATATTATTCACACAATCGTGAAAGAGTTCCATGAAACCACAATAAAAATAGTACTCATTCTCAGATATTTTCTAAATAAGAACTTTATTTGCAAACATAGAGACGAGTACAAATACAAATTTAAGATGCGTTTCATATATTTAACCGAAATATTCAAGCATCTTCATGGTGTTTTTGTTCAATAGATCTTAACAGGAATAAGCATGAATTTCAAAGAACAGAATTTATATACGCCTTGTTGCTCCAATTGTCTGGGTACATCGATCATTTCTTTGATAAATGTAAAATCATCTTCTGTGAACTCTCTTAAGCCTTGTATGTTACATTCTCCTAAAATCCTCTGAATATCCTCTTTAAGTACGGTACTCTCCAACATATCATCAAACATTTTTCTTGCCATGGCTTGATGCTGTTAAATGGAACATATTTTTTTTCTGTTTGTTACTTGATGCTTGGGGATATTTTGGGGATTTTATCTCGTATTATGATAATTATTTACATTCATGACTTTTTAATTTTTAAGACCAAATGCTTAAATTAAAATAATATTACGAAAATATAGCAATTAAAACACACATCAAATAGTAGCTATTGAAGAAAACAGTATTCTTCCACATAACAATAATGAGCATATCAGATATGATTATGGTTTTGTTGTGGTGATTAAAAATATTGTTAATAAGTGTTTCTAAAAATGGAAGCAGGCATTTATCCCACTTGGCACCATTGTTGTGGTGTTGAAAATTAAAAGCCTTATGTTTTTTTATAAATAGAATTAGTTACTTATTACCTAATGTTTTTAGTTTGCTTAGGAGTACTTTTTAATGGGATAAATTTAATTGTTAGTATGACACCACCCTTTGAATGCAAAGGGAAATAAAACACAAATTTGAATAAATTTAAATTAACCAAATTTTTAATGAACTTAGTTTTTATTTACACTTAACTAAAAGTTACTTAAAACAAAACAAGTTGAAAAAATGTACTTTAATATGAACTGTTTGTAATTAACCAAAAATATGATGATTAAAATTAACTAGTAAATAAAAGATTTAAACCAGTTGAAAGTTGTTTAAACTGTTATAAATGAAATATGAAAAGTAACCGTAATGATTTTGTGCTGTTGAATAGTAGCAAGCCTTGTTTTAATATGTATTAACAAAAATAAAGATTTAATAATTTCAGATGGCTGCCACTTAAACAAAGAAAAGATATTAATTAATTTTAATTAATTTTGTGAAAAGAACTTACAAAAATTACTTACAAATTAATTAAAATATTTTAGAGAATTTAGATAATTTTTAAGATTTATTTAAATGCCAAAGTGCCTAAAATAAATTAAATAATTAATTAATTAACCTTAGAGAGCTTTAAGAGATGTTACATTTCCAAAAAAATAGCAGCAGAATGTCAATTTTTATTATAATTATTATTTTTAATGCGTTTTATTAAGGTAGCCGCCGGAAAATCCATATGGGCGACCGTACACTCAAGTCGGACCATCCTAGAGTGTCCCGCCGAGATTTTTTCGTCGATTTTTTCCCAGCTTATTTTGGTGGAAAGACCCCAGTTGCCCCTCCGGGCATTATTTCAGACACGAGCGGGCACCCGGGTAGAACCACCGACCTTCCGTAAGCCAGCTGGATGGTTCCTCACATGAAAGATTTCGACCCAAGTGAAGATCGAACCTACAGCGGTGAGGGACCAGTGATCTCAAGTCAGCGACCTTAACCACTCGGCCCCGGAGGCCCTCTAATGACAAATTTGTGTAAAGTGCCTATATTTATGCACACTACTGGGAACCAGAACTTTGTGTGGAACCAGTAAAATGCAGACCTGCTCTGATTGGTCAATGAATTTTAGCCAATCAGAGCTTATTGGGGCTTTACATAACTATTCTAAAAATAAATAATGATTCATGGAAAATTTTGCAACAGTATCAATTAACCATAATTATAAAAATAATAAAATTTTGCAAAATATTTGTAACAATAATACTAGTAACTATAATCAACTAAACATATTTACAAACATATATAAATTATGCAAATGCTAAATTAACAATATGTATTTTACTAAGTTTAAAGTCCAGTATAAGTAAAAGTAGAAACATTCTATGTATATTTTATGTAAAGAGTCTTAGGCCATGCTAAGTTACTGTTAAAGAATGTATCAATAAGTTCTACAAACTATAATTAACATTAAACTAATAAATAATAAGAATAAAGTGTCTATGAAACAATACATGTTTATTATAATTAAACTTTAAAATAAACTTAAATCTAAGTTAAAGTCTTTAATATTTCTTAAAAATATTCTTTAAAATTATACATGTTATACTTTTTAAGTAATATTATACAACATTATGTAATGATTATGTAAGCTGTTGTAAGTGGAATCCATCTTTACAACAGTTTATTACCTTAAACTCCTTTTCTACCGAAGGCATAAACCTTTTTTCAAATACATGCGAGAACGGTCCTTGGCCTGTATGCAAATAAAACAGTATATTAAGGAAATACATGGAATACTTGCATTTCTTGCTTAATCTTATATAAATTCAAAATGTTTAAATGAGCAACAGTATAAAGCTATATTGAAAAGTTATATTAACGACCTATTACGATAATGACTTTGGAAAGGTTCACTTATATAGCACAGTCATTTCACATCACAATGATTGTCAATAGTGTCCTATTCAAGTTGTTAAACAGAAGTAAAAAAACAAACAACAAAACAGTAAAAAAACCTGGAGAATATTCGCTCGTTTTTGTAGTATCAAATGAGAGAAGGGCAATTTAAAGTATACTTTGATGTTACAAAAGCTTATTTACAACGTATAAACGAAAAGAAGACCTACCTAGATCATGACAAAGTCCTGCTATTTCCACACACAGAATGTCCCTCTCTGAAATGTTTTCTTCTGGTTGCTGTTCTTTGATAGTTTTTAAAAGTTTCCCTGCCAGATAACTTACCCTGAAACACGATTTTATCCATAGTTATAGAAATTAATGGAATATTTTATATACTTCAAATTTTTAACGAGGTATTTTAATTTCTTTACTTGTTAAACATTATAACATGTTTAAAAGGTTTCATGTGGAGAAAAGCTTTGATAATTTAAACAGATATATAATTCATGTATGTGGGGATCATTTTGTATACAAAAGGCAGGTAATCCAGAATTGCACGCAATTTCAAATTTGTCTTTTATTTTATTTTAACTTTTTATTCAACACAGTTCCATTTATTTATTTTATTTCAAAATTGTTCTAAAACATCTATATTAAGAATATAGTTTACAATAATCGATCAATAGCCGAAGGTAGTCTCTATCATCTATATGTGACTCCCTTAATATACCAATTTGAAACTACCATGTTTTTATCAATAAAATTACTATACAACTTTGATTTACCAATCATGTACGGTTTTTACAGATCACGTGCTTCTTCATACTTTAAACAATCAAAATAATTGTAATATATATGCGGGCTGTGAAGACTGTCATTGAATGTACAGGATAAGACTTAACATCTAAAGGTTCTTTTGACTTTTATTAATTTTATTTTCAAAAGTGGTATTATTTTGTGATTACGTTCACTGGTAAACGATTATATTTAACATTATACATGTATGTATCAGTCTAAAAATCCTTCCGAAAATATACTTACCCTATAGAGTGTTCAAACCTATTATGACTTGCTCCAGGATATACCATGTAGCATGCGTCTAGCTGTTTGATGTGTCTCAGCCGCTGAAACTGAGGCGTATCCATTATGCGGACGCAAACAGGGTGTATTTCCATTGTCCCATGAATTGGATCGTTGAATATCTAGCGAAAGAAAAATAAGTTTGCATCCTTTTATTGTATCTGATCTAATTTTTGTCAAAATTTTGCGTAACCGCTTTAGGAACAGCAATCCTTTTTATTATTTTTGAATAAACTATAAATTGCATCTTCTAAACTAATGTTTGGGAATTGGCTGGCATTGACTTATTGCCATTGACTTGAAAACAAAAAATGCATTCAGGTTGCTAATATGTTTACCGTTATAAATAGAGTACGCACAGAAAATTGGTGAATTAATATTTTCTCCGAAAATTCGTAGACACTAGTTGTAGACCTTATCAAGCATTAAAGAAAAAGGAACCGAAAGTAATTGATGGTGTGCCTATCACTTAAGATATTTAAAATTACCTTATTTACGAATATGAATAGAAAACCATAAGAAATTCGCTTATAAATGAGCATTATATCAATAAGATAGCATATATTTTCTCCCAGCAATCATACACTAGGATTTATAAAACACCTTCCAGTATTTAATTGAATCGACACAGCGTGAAATTTGTGGGGCTTTAAATAGCACCAGCAAACGTTAAGACATACATTACACATCCACTGAGAAAGTAACATATGAATCGATCTTTTTGGACGAAAACCATTACAGAAGTGTTCATTGGTACTAATTTAAAGATTGTCTGAAATAATATTTACGCATGCTTGTTGGATTAGATTGTTAAATTTCTTTCCTTCAGTTAGAAGTTTATTATAAAAACATGTGCGGCTACTTTGCATCAAAATAAATATCTGGAAAAAAAAGTAATCGCTCGGAAGTTTATCAGCAAAATTACATGAAAATTGAAGACTCTGTTCGATTGAGTCTGTACATAATGTTTAATGACAAAATTCAACACCCCTTACGCCGCCCCCAAAGACTTGTTCACATTTCCAGCATTCTATATACAGCGCATTGTATAAATGAAAAATAATTGCGACACCTTCAGCAATATTTTTGTGCAAGTTATCCAATCGCTAATGTACCTTTCTCTTCATGAATATGTTATTTGCCGAATCAGTTTGATGTTGCTGTTCACCATTGGACGAACCTGTTTCACCTCCTTCATCTGCCATAGTTTTATCTGTAATTATAGGAAATAACATAAACATTAAGGGCAAATGATGCATTGGTTTAAGAACTTGTTATATTCTTACTACCTGAAGAAAGTATTAATATTGTAATTTTAAAATGAATTAAGTGGTAATTATTATCATAAAATAATCGAAATTGACTTATAGTATCATATCATATTCAATGTTGCGTTCTTGAGTGAGATGCTTTACATTTCAACCAGATATCTTATTTGGTGTCTTTTACCTACTTTTGCATACGCTTCCATTAGCAATAAAAGGTTATGCAACATTTATAAGTATGATATCTATAAGAATACCGGTATTACAAAGCTTGTTTTTTAAATCATCAATACTATTAAAAGTTAAATACCTGTTCATATTTCGTTTGCTGACTTTTTGGTAGTTTTATTACTTTATTCTGTTTTCATTTATTATTATTATTGACTATGTATTAATCAATCTCTTTTCGTTATATCCTATCAGAACTTTAAACTACATGTACTCTAAAGTATGTAAATCTCTCACTATAATTACAAATAAAGAACAAACCGATGTGTTTATATTATAGATAAAATTTTGTTCAAATACAAACATAAAGCATGATATATTTTGCATTGACTAATACAATGGTGGGTGCACATAATTGTACGTAGCTACATGATTACCCGGTATACTTGTCGATGCTATTGTTATTTTTTCAATCATTCTTTATAGCTACAACTGACAGTAATCCACAGATATTTTTTTTTTAATTTTTGACATGCATGTATTTGTAAACATTAAGTTTTGAGTTTTGTAAAAATTCTGTAATGATATGAAATAACATAAACATTAAAGGCACATAATGCCTTGGATTAACAACTTGTTTGACTCTTACCACCTGAAGGAAATAGTGCTGAATGTGAGAAAAAACTTGTAAAAAAGTAGCAAAATTTTAACAAAGTAGTATTTTTACTTCCATACCAAATACTAAATCAGTATAACTGTTCTAATTGCCAAACAGTAAGAGAAGGAACAGATTATTCAAGTTATTGGCCAGTGAGTAACTTGTTGGAAACTATAATGGAAAATCCGTTATAAAAATCTTTTGAAAAATTAATATAAAAGTATATCGGGACATAATGGGTCTTTAATACGTTTTATTTTATGTTTTATTTTAGATCACTAAAACACAATAGAAGTTAAATTCTAGTTTTGCTTTTAATAATTTAATTTGTTATAATATAAGAAAAATAGGCAGGGTAAATAGATACCTTGCGATATTTATTTGAAAAAAATATGGTATTGAAAAACATTCCATGTTTGCAATTTTATGCACTTTTTACTCTTAAATAAAACTATATGCATGACGAAGAAACTACAACAACAGTCCAACAATACCATATGTGTTTGCCTTAACTGTTCAAAATGGCAATACATATTGATTTCTAATGGCCAGAGTACAATGTCTAGGCTTAGTTTTATTGCATATATTTAATGTAAGATCATAGCTTATAAGTTACATTAACTTTCTGTTTAAATAACATCGGTGGAATAGTTGAATAGACTCATGCCGAAGGCAATACAAACGTGACACTAAAGGAAATGATTGAGGCTCTGATACAGAAATGGGTGAAGATTTCATTTTTACGATTTGTACGAAACTATATAAATTATGTCATTTGGGAATGAATTTAGTGATAATTATATCATAAAATAATCGTACGTGTCTGATAAAAAATTGACTTATATTATCATATCATATTCAATGTTGCGTGCTTGAGTGAGATGTTTTACATTTCAACCAGCGATCTTGTTTGGAGTCTGTTATTTTCGCATACGCTGGGGTTTGCTCGTGGATTAATTCAGTATTTGTAAATATTTGCCCTTTACTTAGTAAAAGATTTTTATTTTTCAAAAAATATTTGACCTAGAGTCATAAGATTGACAGAACAGTGGCGCGGTGGGGGCGTCCGTGTCCTATGAACATATTTCTAGTTTTAATATTAAGTTTTGTTCAATTCATACATGAAACATACGCTTCCATAGACAATAAAAGATTATACAAAATTGGTTAGTATGATATATATTTGAATACTGGTATTGCAAAATTGTTTTTTAAATCAACAATACTATTAAAATTTAAATACCTGTTTCGTAAGCTGATGTCTTTTTGACAGTTTTATTCCTTTATTCGGTTTTTATTTATTTTTATTGACTATGTATTAATGTCTCTCCGTTATATCCTATCAGAACTTTAAACTGCTTTAAAGTCTGAAATATCTCTTTATAACGACAAATCAAGTAAAATCGATAGATTTATGTAAAAGATAAAGTTTTGTTCAATTCATACATGAAACATAATATATTTTGCATTGATTGATAAAATTATAGTGGATGCACATGTTTGTACGCAGCTATATAATTACCTGATATACTTGTCCTTGATATTGTTAACTAGTATTGAGATTATTCTATATTGAATAAAACAAATTTGGTAATAAAACGTAACCGTCTTAAATAAAACAGATATTGGTGGTACACACATTACATATTTACAGTTGCTGAAGTTATTCATAGATGATTTTCTGTTTGTTTTATTTTTGACATATTTGTAAATATTAAGTATTGAGTATTGCTTAATTTTCAATAATTAGTGCTTACATCATAATAAACATACCTTAGCATGATGTATTCAAAGACAAGTGTTCACTTAGGAAAGAGTAATATTCATTGAAAAATGACTTCTCACCGTCACATAAATCGCTATTCCTTTCCAGAACCTCATCTGTGACTTCTAGCCCTAGAACACCTGAATCCGTGCAACCGAAATCACTAAGGACATGATGAACCATGTCCTGCTGGGATACTGCACTTTCCCATCAGTCAAATAATGGAGTAAGATAACACTCCGTCACATAATCTATAAAATGATTTTTTTAGGGAATAAAGGCATAAAGGAAAGTGACATAGAAATCATTTTACCCTGAAATATCCAAGATAGCTTAGATTTGCACTGACTGCTCAATGGCTAGCTTATTTGAATTAGAATTGAATCAAACTTACACAGTGTTGGTCAAGTTTCATCTTGCTGTTGTTTTCAGAACCTTCAAAGTTGAAACCCTCAAGGATATTAATTTCATAAGTAGGGAAATATTTGTCGGTAGTGAGTCACCTGACAGCCAACTTTTATACTCTTGTTTTTTATTTTGTTTTTGTGATCTAAACTATAAAACATCATATTCAGAACTCTGTTATACGTGTATGTAAACTCTATAAAATTATGTAGTACATATTGTAAAGTACATTTTTTCATTGTTCTGAAAATCAAGACTTAGTGGAATGAAATAAATTGACAATGGACATTGCAGTTATTTCCTTTTAGATCGACTTTTTCGAAGAATCGTGAGCTTCACTTTCACACCTGGATGTCGGCGTCAGAGTAACACTTTTAGTTAATGTTTTAATTGAAGTAATGGCTTGCCCCTAACCGTTGTGGGTTTCAGTGTATTTTTATTTTACACTCCGATAACAAGTAACAAGAACGGAAATATAAATTATATTTTGTCGATATCAAAGAAACAAACGTTGAATTTTATCTAGAAGACCCAGCGATTTGATGTTTATCGCCATATAAATTTTTATTTACCGCACATTGTCTTTAAACCCTTGGTCACGGAAGTTTTAGTTTACAGAAGTATCGGTTATACACGACATATCACCTTGAATCAAATAAACTTAAAAGAAATTTTAACAATCATATCAAAACCTTCAAACGTAATATTATTTTGACATGCCGGTCATTTCAATAATGTAATTGTATTGTTTTGAACGTTAAAACTAGTTTTGCAGTCATAAAAATTATTAAACTATGTATGTTTTAGAGTATATAAAAAATAATGTCTAAAAAAAAGATGGGTGGTGATTTGACCAAAGTAAAATATACGCGTAAATCTGTTAGCGACACAGAAACTAATTGATTTTAGTGTATTTTGGCTGGTAGCCTTGTTTTACATTGACACAACAATTTTATGAGCCATACACCGCTGTGGGTTCAAAATCACGACAGGGACTTTGGTTTTTTTTTTTGGTTTTTTTTTGAGAAAGCTAATTCAGCTAGCTTACGGATCATCAGTGGTTCTACTCAGTTGCCCGTTAGTTTAATAATGCAAAAATAATGCACGGAAGGGCAAGGGCACGCGAGGTCTTACTCCACCAGTTAAGCTTGAAAGCCCCCATTTGATCTAAAATGTGTTGATGCGACGTAAAACCCTACCAAATATGAACTATTAAATGACTGGTGCATCAAGTAATTTTAACAGAGCAAAAACGACAAGATGTTTACAGCCATATGAATAAATTGTTAGGCAACAAACGCCTAAATAGGACAAAATCAGTCTTCTACTTTATGCGTAATTATTTCACTTCATTAACCAAACTGCCTATATGTTCCAGCAAATATATCTAAATTTCAATTCAGGCACACTTTTACATAAAATTTCTTAAACTTCAAGGAACACATTGCTAGTTTTATTGAATCATACGAGTTATTTCAACAAACATGTATATTAAACAAATACGCAAAACATTTATGAAATGCATTACCATTATTCATTTAAAGATAACATTAGACGACAAGTCTGTTTACCTTCTTTAAAATCTACGTTCTATATGTTATACATTCTTTTCGTTATCAGTTAATATTTATGTAAGTCCAGACTGCCCTTGTAAAAGTAAATTATTGACAAAAAAACAACAACAACAACAAAAACCAATATAAAAATATAGCATTCTCCATTTTAATGATATAATAATATGAGCAAATGATCTTTATCAAAATGTTTGAAGAAAACCCTTTAAGAATGTGCAAATAATTCAAATTCTAAGTTTTTGGATATAAATATAAACAAACTCTGCACCTAAAGTATTTAAACTATTATCATTTACTTGCTGTACTTAATCAATTTTAATTAAAATTTTATTACAGTAAGGTAATTCATGCTAGTATAGTATATAGAATCGAATCAGTCACCTCCGGATAATGTTTTTCCGTGTTGCGTTTGTTGAAACATAAATAAGTTTGGGAAAGTGTGCACTTGTTAGATCCCGCATTTGCTTATGACCAGAGAAGGGAGAGGGTTGACTAGGTTCAAAGTTTGAGGCCCTAGACGCCTGAGAGAAATTCTCACAGGGGGTGAAAACGTGGCTTTATTTTTTGAGCCCGACAATAAGCTCAGTAACAAAATGTGGGTAGATTGTAACAGCGATCGCCCAATAGTTGATGCGCTGGATCAAATTACTCAATGATAATCCACCTGCGCATCAACGGTCGGCGTTGGTTCAAGCTTAATCAGAGGGTCAGAGAATTGAGGTTTCGCTCCATCCCGCTTATAGTCCTGACCTATCTTGTGACTTTTAGTTGAATCCATACACATATCTTGCTTTCGTGGTCGCTGTTTCGAAATCCGCAGTGCCGTCGGAAGCACTCTCTTCCAGTGTATAAACAGTATACCAAAGAACAGTTCAAAAATGCTTTTCGGAATCGATTCTAGGGCGAAAAATATGTAAAGGTCTATTATTTAAAGGACTCCACTAATTATTTGTCACACGTATGCCTTATTAAAAAAACGCACTACCTTTGCCACTTATTAAATAATGCCCCTCGTAAAAGTTGTGTATTTCACGAGAAGAGAGATAAGAATAAAATGTGTTTGATTTGAAGAGATTTCATTTGAATTTGATTTTACATCTATTCATAAGATAGAAAAAACATATTCGATGATAGTTACAGACAATAAATAATTGTTAACAGATGTCTTTACATTCGAGAAGAGGCTTGGAATTTGGAAAGCATTATAAAGTTTTGAAATTATTGTTATTTATCAATCCAATCCAAAAAGCATAAAATAAAAATATTTATTTTATGCTTTTCAGTGGATTACTGATTTATCCGTGAAAATTATATTTGATAATTTCACAGTGAAAATTATCAAAATATAATTTCACACTTTTCAATGACGAAACTACTTTTTTAAGATTTTCCCCATGTGGTACCTCAATTTTACTTTTGCTGACTATTCCGTCAATGTAATGCTGTTTAAAGAAAAGCAAAGCTGAAATTGATAAATTACTTATATGTCAAAAGTAATAAAAAGAAGAAAACTTACAGTAAGTTACTTCTATTCATTCAAATAACCAATCACCAAATATCGTCTCTTTAATTTTTTGTTTCATTTTTACAGTCTGAAAAATACATTCCTTCCTCTTGCAAAACTGCTCTTCGATGACATTTGTGGAATATTTAGTATCCTACGAGCAAAAACTGACGTATGCTTTATGAAAACTTGAAAAGCAATGCCGCAGCTTTCAGTCGAAGAATATGTAAACAACCCCAGGCGTTCGTAAGGCTTCAAGTTTTCCAATTTCCTATCCACTATTTTGAATGTTTACACATCTGTCAACACTTATTTATTGTCTGTTACAATCCTGAAATAAGTTTTCTTTCTTTTTAAAAAGGTGTATGACTAACAAATTCAAATGATATCCCTCTGAATCAAACACAATTATTTTCCTCCAGTGAAATACACAACTTTAAAAATGGCGGCCGCTTACATTTGACATAGCCAGGTCTAATATAAATTCGCGTCAGTAACAGAAATATGGATGGATGGTTGGACTTTTTCTCTTACTAGAATTGTTTGTTTTTATTATTTAAACATGTGATCAGACATATTTTTTTAATAAAATGAATACTATCACCACCATATAACGTTGATTGTGGAACTTATTTCTCAGCCCATGACTTCTTGTATTTAATGAGAAATTCGACTTTTCTGAGGCTCTAAATGGGGAAACAGATTTTAATAATAACGTAAATATTAAGGAAATTTCGTTTTAACTTGTTTTTAAGCATAAAATAAAAAGAAAATTTGTTTGTTTGTTGTGTAAGATGTAATTTTATTTCATCTCGTGAACTTAAAAAAACAGTATTCTCACTCGTGGCTTCGCCACTCGTGAGAATACTGTTTATAAAGCCCACTCGATGAAATAAAATTTCATCTTACACACAAACAAACAAATATACTCTATATAATATGAAAATGTTAATTTGAAAATGTGTAAGCCACTGTGTAGCTGTATAGAAAGGGATATCCCGTCAGTTTTCTTTGTCAATTTGGAATGAGGGGAACAGTTCATTCTTAACATTACGTTACACAATTAACACAAAGCAATGAGTAAACAGTTGTCAACTGAAGTTAACGAAACAAAGTACAACACTTCAATCAAACCAC